GTAATTTTTTTGGTACCATACTTGTCAAGGGACAATTAATGGTTTTAGAGAGCTATGACACATCATATATAGGTAGGGGGAAATAAAATTAGGCCATGTGCAAAGGTTATTTTCAAGGTAATTTAATTATGATTCTAGAAAATCTGGTCTAGCTGTAGGACCTTACCTTCAATATATATTATGACTTAATCTCCTCTAACCCGAGATTTAATATATATCTAGTTCTATAAATTTAACTCTTTTTCTATGGATGAAGAGGACATTCTATGAATTTCATCCCTTTCATCACAAGATTCCAATGGACAAGAATTGTTGATACGATGGCAAAGAGTTATACGAAGATTTAGAGGTGAAATTCGTAAAATTTTTTTATAAAAAATGAATAAATAAGATAAAAATAAAAAATTAAAATTAATAAATTAAAAGATGTTATCATATAAATTAAATGTATAAAATTTTAAAAAATTTAATATATTTTTATATATCTATTAAATAAATATTTTTAGTAAAAATTTTGATAAAATTTTTATCGTCAAATAAATATCGATCAAATTTAAATTATAAATAATATTTTTAATACATATAATTTTATATATTATTGATTTTCATATCAAATTTTATTAATATATCAGTTAAAATTGTTTTATTAAAATTTTTATTTATTTATTTTTAATAAAAAATTTCACCAAGTTTTATCTTGATATGATATGTACCATTGATACAAATATTGACTTGATCAGAATAATTGATTCGAATTGCCACCGACAGAGGAAAAAAAAAAGATGCTCAAGATTTGCAGTTACCAATCTTTTTTACATATCTACCTCAAATTAGGGAAGAAAACCTGATTTAAGGGGATGCTCAATGTATTTCATCATTATATTGTTATACAAAAACGAAAAACACGACAAATTAAGCAATTGCAATTAAGCATTTGTCAAAAACCTAGCAACGTGATTACCGTAGCATAGTGATTCAAATAAAGAATTTAAATTTAATTCAGTTGATTCGTATAATTATTTAAAAAAAATAATATTTAATAAATTTAAAATTTAAATTTCAATATTTGTAATACAATATTTTTCTTTATCTTCGACATAAAAAAATCCAAAAGACTATGACATTAATAACTTGCCTACACATTTTTTTTTAGAAATATTGATAGCATCTTTAACCAAAAGCATCCTCACCAAAATTAACTCTAATTAAATTAATTAATTAATCTTTAAGTTTGGTTCAAAATGAAAATAGATACACCTCTAAAATTAAAAGTTCACAAAATTAAAATGGAACCATTGACATCTAGCAAATAATTAATTTGAAAATTTCCCAAAAAAGCAATTAACAAAAACACAAACAATCGATCTTGACCCAGAACATCTTTTGAATTTTCGCAATCATGTCATGAAAGAGAAGACCCATCATGGAACTTACAAACCTAATCGATTGTTGCACACTGCAATTGTCAACTAAAATAATTGGTTTGGAGACAACTTGATTTTGATTAGGAACCAAATGGTGGTCGTTTTACTAATGTTTTCAAAGTGGTTGCATCATATTCTTTAAGAACCAATTACGTGATTTATTGATAAATTTTTGGATTCTTAATCCGTAACCGAAAAAAAAAAAAGATTAAATTCCTTCTAACTACTGCTTTAGAAACATGGTGAGATATAACTAAACAGTTTGTCGGAAATTACAGAAAGAGTATTTGGTGGAGGTTTGCTTTAATAATTTATTTGTTAAGCAGCTCTATCATTTTGCTGAATATATCTAATATTTTAGCAAGGAATAATATGTGAGGACCACTCTAATCTTTAGCATCGAAATAAGATTTTGAAGTATCAAAGTGATGAACGAGTAATTCCAAATGAGGTTTTGAAAACATGATTTTTTTTTTTTTTTTTGTGATTTAGAGGCTTTCTAATTAGGATTTCATTTCCAATAATTAAAGGAAAAAAAATCATCTAGACAATTACAATTATAGCATTCCAATTGCTTCTAAAAGGATTCATTAAATTTTTCTGTAGATCAGCTGCCAATAAACAATAATGAATTCAATCAAATAAGGAGAAAATAAGTAAAAAGGAAAAATCAATAAGTTGATACTCCAAAACTAAAAAAAAAAAAAATTTAATAAAGAGAAAATTAATATATTATATTAAAATCGATTCTAAAACAAAAAATTCAAAACTTAGTCGTGTTTGATTATGGTTTCAATGTGTGGTTACTGATGCATGAATCTTTTGACAAGGAGGTTCTTTGGAAACAATGCATGTAGCTAACCTATTTGCCATTAATCAAAAGAATTTGTAAATAATTAATGTACGGTTAATCATTGTCATTTGAGAATCTTTTTAGATTAGCCAACTAGCTAGCTAAGTACACTCAACCTTGCTTTATCATTTTTTTTGTCTCTTTGCTGTTAAATGGGATTGTATTTGGAAGAAAATATTTATGAAAGCAACAAATTGAGGCCCTTCCTTGAAATTGAAGCATTGAAATGAAAATTTGTCATGAATTAAATGTATTTTTTTTTCTTTTGCAGAAAATTGGTGCTCAATGACTTCATGAATTTCACATTGCTGGCATTTTGCAATGATGCTGCTGCACTAACGTGGCTAGTTTGGCAAACTCATAAATTGAAACTTAAGCATTCCACCATTTAAATTTCACTAAATGAAGTTGATTTTTTTTTTTGTGTGTTTTAGATTATGATTATGTTTGGGGTTCGAATTTGAGACGTTGAATTTTAAAATTATTCTAACAACTCATTAGTAAATGAAGTTGGTATTTTAATTGTTTAGCATGCCTGGATTGACTTGTCAGCTATTAATTCAATAACCATTTTGTTAAATCACAAAGATTGGGAAAAATTACCATAATCAAAGGTTATAGCTTGAAATTAAGAGCATGAAAAAGAAAAACGAAAAAATAGTCACAGAACCCCGTGTTAACATACTTTATGACTTGTGAAATAAACATCCTCCGTTCAACAAAAGCCCACTTGACAAGGAACCTTTGCAGTTGAGTTGTGTCCCTTTCTTTTTCTTGTTGGACTGGGAAATGGCCATTGAGGGGTGCCCCTAACTACAGCCTATTCCCACATGCTTTCCATGACAGAGACAGACAAACAGAAAAAAAAAAAAAACCATATATATTTAATTTGATCAAAATCATAATAATCCTAAAAAAAAAGAACAAAAGCAATTGGGTGGAGGGTGGGTTTGCTTGAAAGTAATCGGAATCTCTGAAGAACTTAATTTTGTGGTGCTACTTTGCTTTAAGAAGAAATAGAGTGAATAACAGTAGTACTGCATGATTTTAATGTACAATTCCCCCTTTACTTTTAATAGGGATTTTTTTTTTTGGCCGCCACATTGTGTGTGAGAAAGTGAGTGTGTGAAACTGACTCTTAACGTTGACACCAACTCAATTGAACTGTCCCAACTCTAATTTTGCCCCTTTCGGCTTCCACCTAATTCTCAACTCTAATCTTTACCTACAACTATCTTCTCCTCCCTAAGATACTAGCAAGATTTAGTTCATAAATGCTTAATACAAGTTAATGTCCTAAATGGTTGTCAAATTCTAAACCAAATTATTCAAAATCAATTTCTCAAACCAAACAATTCTTTCTAATTAATGAAATTTATGAAAAAAAGTGGAATGAATTGTTCTGCATAAAAACAATTAACGTAAGGATAAAATAAATATAATTTTTGTGACGTTTTAATCTCGAGAGATTTTATGGTAACTTAAATCTGTGAGGTACTTTTTGTAATATAAAATCATAAGATTTTCAAGTTAAAATGGATAATATTTCACAAGTTATATGTGAGTCTCCACAAATGATATCAAAGCAACTATCAGTCAAATAAGAGTTAAGTGTTATACCATGAGAATCACTTAAAATCTTGTAAGAGCTAAATGCTACATGGTGGGAGCTACCTCTAAAATCTTAACGCTTGGTATGATCTTGTGATATTTGTATACTTTGTATTAGGTTTTTTCAACGTTTGATGTGATTTGATGAATCTATATATTTTGTGTTGGCTTAATGAGGACATCAAACTTTAACAAAGAAGGTTTATGATACCTCAATCCCATATCATGAGACTCTATTGTAATTTAAATTTGTGAGGTACCTTTTGTGAGATAAATTCATGAGATTTTTAAGTCAAAATAGACAATACCTCATAAATTAAATGTAAATCTCCACAATTTCATGGTGACAAAGAGGAATCCCTAAATTAGCAAATAAAAGAAGGATTAGGGGAAATGATTTTGATTATTTGTTTAATGGTGTAGACTTAATTAAAAATAGTGAAAGCAAAAGTTTTCTTTCTACTAATATTAACATCTTTGAAAGTAGGAAATGAAAAGAAAAAAGATTGGTGGTATAGGAAAAAACTTACATAAAGTTTCATTAGTGAAGTTCATGAAGTTCGTTATTAAAAATAAATAAATTAAAATAAAAATTAAAAAATCTTATTATATAGATTATGTGTGTAAAAATTAAAAAAATTTGAAATTTTTTTGATATATTTATATTTTTAATAAAAATATTTACAAAATTTTATCGTTAAATAAATATTAAACAAATTTAAATTATAAATAATATATTTTTTTCATATTATTAATCTTCACATCAAACTCTATCAATCTATTAATTTAAATTTTTTATATACTCATTTTTAATAAAAACTTTCATAAACTTCGCCCATAAAACTTTATCTAAAATTTGTCCACCGGAATATATAGAGCAAACTGATAGTAGTAACTATTCACGGGAGGCTGCCTTTTGTTGAGTTTTGACTAAAAAAAAAAAAACTTAGTACAAAAATTTTCACTGTATATGTAAACACCAACCACCGTTATTCACTATATATAAGAAATCCTTTGCTCTCTCTATCTTTGCTTCCTTCATTTCTTTTCTCTCCAGCTGTTACTCATTTCCTTTGTTAGGTCAGTTGCTTGTTTCTTTTAGTACAATTTTTTTTTTTTTGTAACTCTTCTACTCTATTGTTGGCTGGCTTTTGGTTTTGGGGGAGGGGTTGATATGCAAGTTCAAGAGGAATTTGTGGGCTGTAATGATCATCAAGCCTTGATCATGAAAGGCAAGCGTACGAAGCGGCAAAGGTCATCTTCCCCGTTTGGTGTCACGGTAACTTCTAGCTTGTCAAGTGCTTGTGATTATGGTGGCAATAGCGATGGTGGTGGTGGTGGTGGAGTGGCGGAGGAATATAACTCAGTTTCCTCTCCGGTGACGTCTGGTGAGATTTATGAGAGCACTGAGGAAGAAGAGGACATGGCTAATTGCCTAATAATGTTAGCACAAAGTGATGGTCCAAAAAGGAGTGTTGAAGAGAAATTCAAGATTGAAAAGTTTGGTGCTCGAAAGTTCTCTGAGATAGCTACAACAACAAACAAGGCTGGATTTTATGTCTACGAGTGTAAAACTTGTAACCGTTGTTTCCCTTCATTCCAAGCACTAGGAGGGCACAGGGCAAGCCACAAGAAGCCCAAGGCGGCCATGGCAGAAGAGAAAAAACCACTTGTTTTGGCCGTTAAAGATCATGATGTTGAAGAAGCACAATTCAGCAAAGAAAGTCCTGTAATTGCTTTACAAGTAAGTAACAACAAGGCTTGTCATGGGAACAAGGGTAAGATTCACGAATGTTCAATCTGTGGCTCCGAATTCACTTCTGGTCAAGCCCTTGGAGGTCACATGAGACGGCACAGGGCGGCAGCAGCAGCAGCAGCAGCAGCAGCAGCAGCAGCGGCAGCCGCAGCCGCAGCTGCTGTTAGTAATCAAGCTGCCATGAGTGTTGATACTTCTAGCACTACAATTGACTCCAGCAATGGTGATGACATCAAGCCTAGAAATATTCTATCTTTGGATCTTAATCTTCCTGCACCAGAAGATGATCTCAGGGACTCCAAGTTCCAATTCGGAGCACCCCAACAAGCTATTGTTTTCTCCACACCAGCTTTGGTAGATTGCCATTACTAAACCAAAAAGAAAATCATGGATCAATGTGAATTACAATTAGTATCGTTCCAATTCGATATCATTTACAATTACCAATTATTATAGTAATTCTTTTGAGTTCTTTTTTTTTTAGAGTTCTGATTTTTGATGATCTACTTGTTGAAGTTGAATACTTTGAGTAAGTGGTTAGTTTTCATGGTTGCCTTTCATTCACGAAAAGTGAGTGATAGGGGCATCTTCTTTTTTTTTTTTTTTCTTTTATGGGTATTTTTAATTTTTCTCTCCCTTTAAAATTTCATTAATTTTATTTCTCTTTTATTCGTTATTTTCCAAGTGAGAAGAGAGCGATGTGCAACACTAAAAATGAGATATATACACACAATAAATATGGCATCGGCAGCAGCACCACCACAACCAAAAGTCGTGGATTAGGTTCTATTTCCTTCAGGTTTTTATTGTTACATTAATAAAGTTTAAAATATTTTTTTAATTTTAAATTCAAAATTTAATTAAATTAGTTCATTTAATAATTTTAAAATTTAATATTTAATAAATTTAAATTTTAAAAATTAAATACTTACAATTTTTTTTTCTTAAAGCTGTCTTTTTTTTTTTTTTAAATACTCTTTTAAATTTGTTTTTTGTTTTTTCTTTTCTTCACTCTCTCGCATTACAGTTCTGCTTCATTAAATGACAAAGAATATATGGATAGCAAAGCTGAGTTGGTAACTGCCCAAGCCATATGTATCCATCTGTATCTCTACATTTTGTTTTTTGCGTTGATTATTTTATATATAGGCTATTTTTTTTAATGGTCAGTCTAGCTTTTAGCTCACAGGCCTAAGCCTACCCGTTACACCTAATTAACCAACCGTAATATCCCTTAGTTTGCAAGTCACTTAACCAAATTGCCAATCATCCAATTGATATTCCCGATGAAGAAGATACGAATTAACACTACTAACTCAGTTTTGGCATTATTAGGGAAGGATTTAAATGAAATTCGTTAGGTAAAATTCGTAAATTTTTTTATAAGAAATAATTAAATAAAAATTAAAACAAAAAATTAAAATTAAAAATTTTCTTTACATAAATTAAGTATGCTAAAATTTAAAAAAAATTTAATAAATTTTGATATATATTTTTAAATAGATATTTTTAATATTAATAAAATTTTTATCGTTAATTAAGTATCAATTAAATTTGAATTATAAATAATATTTTTAATAATATTTTTATATATTATTGATCTTCATATTATATTCTATCAATTTATTAGTTTTGATTTTTTATTAAAGTTTTTATTAAATCATTTTTAAAAAAAAACTTTACAAACTTCACTTAAACAATTTCATGTAAATTTTGTCCGTCTTATTGTCACTCTTTTTTCAGTTTTTTTAATACGTGAATTCCTAGAATTTACTCATAAATACTTCATAAATGCTCTAAATTAAAAAAAAAAAATAAACTTCATGCAACATAGAATAAAAAATTTAATTTTTTTCAACTCAAAATGATTTAATTTAAATTCGATGTCCTAGATAGATGTAAAAATTGTAATGGGCATGAGATGGGTAAACATGACTAATCATTGAAATATAAGAAAGAAGGAAATGGGGTGACTTAATTTACTCACTCACACTCACTTGTGTGTAAATGGAGTTTGTTATGTGCACGTTTTGGTGAATGTTGGTAAGCCAAAGCATGTGGGCACTTGCGTGAGATGTCCAAATACAAAGAGAGAGATAGTGTGTAAAATCATCATTGACATTTGCACATGTAGTTGCCTTGTCATGTAACCTCCCAATATTCTCATCTAATTATATTTTATGTGCTCTTAATACAAAGTGCTATCAACACTCCAATTTAAATATTTATGCTTTACTTTGCTTGGTTTTATTAAAAAGGTTCTCTCCCTCCATTGCCTATTCAACTACTCAAAGGTACCCAAATTAGCTTTGTGTAGAGAAAATGTCACAACATCAATACTATATCCTTTTCCAAGTCTTTTTCCTTCATTTTATATATTTACATCTTAAGCAGGAAATTCTTATCCAAAATTTTTCAGCCACTCAAAATTTTGAAACCAATCTTGAATCTAATTACTTGAAATAAAATTTGTTTAATTTAAAATATTTGGTCGAATAATGGAATCGAAAATATATGAATATAAATTCCAAATCAAGATGGGTAGCTTAATTACTAATTTGTTAATATTTTGGTTATGAGATTGAAATTAATTAGAAGTTCAATCCCCACCTTGGAATTGGCTTGTAATAGGCTAAAAGCTACACCTACAGTAGCCAATGACAGTGGAGTATGAAGATATAATAAAGGTATTTATGATGTACTTGTTTTTTTTTGGGTGAGTGGGTTCCAATATTATCTAACCAAGTGATATGTGGACAGTTGATATAGATCTTGAAGTGGCGTTGCCTCCAATTTCACAGCTGGATGGCTATCGGAATCTCTTGGCTTTCAGCTTCTCTGCTTCTCTGTTTTCTTGTGGTCAAGTCATTGTTTTTCATGAAAGGGACCGACGCTCCAAGGTGTTTGCTGACTGTCACAACTAAGCCAATTGGTATGATTTTGGTTTTTGCCGGCTATTCGCTTATTAACATTAATAACCCTAAACAAACTTCTATCTAACCAATCACTTGGGACTTATTCAAATTTTCATAAACTTGGATAGAGTCCAAAACGATCGGTCAAAGTCCAATCATAAAACTTAATCCCCGGCATAGTGACAACTCTCCAATTATACTCCTAAATAGACCACAAATCAATTAGTTACATTTAGTTACTTTGCATATAATTAATAATAAGAAGAATAAGAATACATTGTTTATTCATGTGTTAGATTCAATTAGGTTTTCTTCACCATAAATTTTTTGTGTGGTTAGTCTATCTCTTTTGGTGAGATGTTGCCTACCTAATGTGCTTCTTCATACAGATTTTTGGTTTGGTTAGGTTTCTTCAAGGTCACGTTAGTTACCAAATGAAAAGCATGTGTGGAGGACAAAGTAAATATATCTATATGCTTACCATGCAGATAATGGCATGTAATTAATAATCACTTATTGAAGTTAAAATTTTGCATAGGAACTAGTCTTTTCAACATTGAGAAACTAATTGTGATCAATCTCAGTTTCCCCTAATTTTTTTATAAATGCGAAGATGATCTCTCATATGAGACTATGACAGATTCCAAAATGTTCAAATGCAAATATATGAAGAAAAGATGTACAAAGAAAGTTTTGTTACGTTGAAATTCGATAATATATGATCATAGAAGATTGCGTTGTAACCCGTTGCTGTGGTGTAGTGGTTATCACGTCAGTCTTACACACTGAAGGTCCCCAGTTCGATCCTGGGCAGCAACATTGTTAAAAGTAACATATATATTTTTTTCTTTTTCTTGTTTTCTAGGTGTTACAGTTCTATAACAAATCGAATCCTTCATCAAATGCCTTTTATCCGTGCTATATCACTTGATTTGATATGTCCTTACTCGAATCTTGCCTCACCCTTACCACTTGAGCCTTAGTGGCCACTACTCTGATATATTACATAAGCATACAAGCAGAAGCATCTGCATCAATAAAAATGAGAGAAAGTTTGGCAACATACAGCACATGAGAGCTGCAGAGAAAAGCTGTTTCCAGATAAAATTAACCAATGTAAAAACAATTTTCAATGGCTCAATACATTATACAAGAGAATAATGAAAAACCGGAAAAACAAATATAAAACTGCTCTGCTATGGTTAGTAAAGCTAATACATGCCGACACAATTACACATTGCTATTCTCCAACATGCACCTTTATGAACTTGCCAGCATCATGCACCTCCTGCAATCAAAGAACAAAGTATTTAATCATAATGAAACTTTGACTCCATTTGGAATCATAAAAAACTATCGTCACGAAACACAATGAAATGATTGCTGAACCGTCTAGTTATGTAGACATTGTACTGAGAAGAGAAGTGTGTTCTCTTTCTACATTCCACTACTTGTAAAGATTTTAAGGCTGGGTTCTCTCAACTGATATAATAATATTGTTTTGTTTCTTTTTTATTTCTTGGGTAATTTTGGCTTCTCTGTAAACATTTAAGAACAAAAAGTTTATCTTCTTTAAATTCTCAGTCCTAAACTACTTGCCAGAGAAAAGGTACCAAACAGAAATGTTCTAATAGACCAATGTAAAGGATGCTCTTCATAAGATCAATTCAACACCGTTTATTGACAAGCAGCAAGAAAAAGTTACTCCTACTTTTACAGAAGAATTTTATTATCAGATGCTCACATACCTTAGACTGATGCAAGTGACTAAAAAAGTTTCCCATTCAGAGAGGTGTTCCGAAGGGACTTGTCCTCGGTTAGCATAAACATTCAGTCTCACTCGGGCAGTAACTTCAGGGTGGAGGTTCAGCTCTGCAATATATGTTCTCCCGGTTCCCTAATCTCTGGAAGAGAAACAATTCTTTTGTCACATCCCTACAGATCAACAAAAAAGGTTAAAAACTAAGCAATCAGATTGATACATAAGGAAAATTTGTAAGGAGGAATGCTTCTTGTAATCTGAATTTTTATCTCACAGTTCTTAAGTTACTATTTACTAGAGTTCCAAAATATCTGGACTGAGTAGAGATTTCCAATAAGGAATGTTCTTGTCTAATTGCCTAAGGTTAATATACCCGTTTAAATAAATGAATATGGGAATCTCCACTTGGCGGCTGTCCATCTAGCTATAAATACATGCAGAAACTAACTTTAACATAATTATTGAGGGTTTAACACTGAAATTTATTGGAGACCACAAATCTTTAACAAAATGCAAATGATTCATGATGTCAAATCTATCAACTGAACCAAACCAACTTTTATAGCAGTCTGTCAGCTTCATTTGTTTGCTAACTTCTAACTGAGAATGCAGCTTGCTTTAAGAATGATGGTTGGGCATATACTTAAATTGCATTAAAAATGATAACGATGCATGTACATAAATTAAGGCAGAGTTGACATCGAGGCTTGAACTTTTTATTCAATGAAATTAATTTACTGAATAAGTTGCAGAGTTGCAATGCCTGTTAGTAAAAGAAGTTAACAAATTTTTACATCTAAATCCCACAAAGATTTATGACGGTATCTTTGAAGCTGTGCCTTGATAATGTCTACAAGATCTTGAGCAGTAACACTGACAGAAACAAGTGAATTTCAGAGAGCAAATATGATAAGCAAA